CAGCGATGAGCTCTCTGCAAGGTCTCCATGTGCTTGTCGCCATAGCAACCAGTGAGGAGGAGGGTCTGTGGCATACCATCCCTCAACTAAAACCAGTAAATAATCGATGTAGGCAATCGCGCTGGGCATGAACGCCACAATCAGCAAAATCTCACGGGTTTTCACAAGGCATGGACCAGGACATTATGGATTTGAGTCACTGAAAAGTACTTGATCAAATCTCAGGAGCTATTAAAATCACTTGAGCGTAGGAATAATACCCAGCTATAACAATAATAATATATTAAAGCACATTTCCCTGCCCTCTGATCTCATGATTTATGGGTATACCTCCTACGTACATGCCAAACTCCACTCCTACACATTAACATGCTTTTAACACCCAAACAAGCAGGCTCACCGCAAGGCAGACCCGAGCAAATGATTTCATTTCAATTTTACAATGTGGGAATGGCTCCAAGCTGCAAAGAGAGGCCTGTAACACGGACAAGCAATTCATGGGCGAATCACCTACGCTCTCCAAATGGTATGCTGGTTTCAATAAAGGCATTTATGTAGATACTGTACAGGAAACAACAATTTGAAATTCACCATAAAAACACACCAAAATCATACATAAAACCCACATGACCACTGCAGTTGGGTGTGAGCTAATTTACCTCATCTGCCTAGAAAGATATTCTTCAGGTCACATGACAGACGGGTGATGAATCTGTGGGCAGGAACAGGACCGGGTCAGGCCTGGCAGGCTGGCTCAGCATTAAATACAGGACCCCGGTCTCACTAAGGAGAGCGGCCCGATATTCGGGGAGGACATAAGGCCAGATCCTGAAAAATGACTCTGACTTCACCTCCTGACGGAGCAGGTTTCAACACCCAAACACGGGCCACCTTTTCCTCCATCACCACAGCAAGGCGAGGCCCAGAGCTGAAACGGGGGCAGAGGGCACCCCTGGCGGGGGGCGCTCAGGACGCCACAGGGAGTATAACCTGGCTTATCAGATTAAAGAGCCACGTGGTCTGCATTTACCATCACCCAACTGAACATAAAATCTGCCCTCTTTTGCAGTGCAGGTCCCACAAAAACAAGCAGCCCTGCCTTCACCCCGCCGTCTGGGGCTGTTAATGGGCATCATGACTGTCCCTAAAGGCAAGCCCAGGGATGCTTAACATTTGTTTTGGAAACAAATTAGTGCAGCTTCTTTGTGCTGCCATAGCAACAAAATCACTCCGCTGGTTTTGCTAATGCTCGTGCATTTCTAAATTAGATATATTTCTATAAACCCCGTTTGGGTGTCTGTAGCAAAACAGTGCTGCGGGCTGTACTTGTTATTTCAGTATGATATTAAGAGCTACAGTCATCTGGATGGGAAAGAAACCCTGTATGGAAGAACAAGACACTAAGGACAACATTATCACCATTACCGTGTCCATGAGTTTAATGACCTATTTATAGGAAAACCCATAATGTGTTTTTCTTTATAGTGAAGCTGTCAGTGCACTTATGTCAATGAGAACTCGTACAGAAAGCCCTTAATCACCAGATTACTTAATTTACCCACTGTCATTTCATTCTGGCACACCCATTCACTCAATCACTCCATTTCACAATGGTCTGAGGAGCTAAAAATCCTCAGAGTGTATTACTGCGCGAGGATACATTTGTCATTTGGACTCTGAAAGCATTTGGTTAGTGGATATGTTTATAGCCGAAGTAACACATCCTGTAAATAGATGTTGCAGTACAAACAGATGATACGGGCTTATGCTCACAAGTCAACAAAACAAAGCAAGAATGAGTTAGCAAATATGACGAAAAAGAAAATGAGTTAATCTGGACTAAAGCACTCCCTGTGTCAGAGGGTATGTGGCAGGAGCCGCTAATAGTCTGGCCTCACGACCACAACAGCACAAGTAGCCAGAGCAGCCCTGAGGTCTTCAGAGAAGCCACTGAATATCACATAGACCGGTGTCAATGTCAGCAAGACGAGTTCTGAACGACTGAGACCACTGCTCTGGATAGAAGGGACTGGGCCCCCAAAGAGAAATTGAAAAATAAATGGAGATATCAATATGCTGGGCATTAGCCAAAGAGAAGAGATGTGTAAAGCGTAACTGGAGAAAATCGCTCTGCGCTGCACTGTCTAAGACTGAGTGCGGGTGGGGGTGGGGGTGGGAACCACGCACTCTTAATCATTCATTAGCTGAGCCAAAGCTGTTATTAAGACAGACTGCACAGCTTGGTGTACTCCAAGCCTGGCCACCTGATGTAAAACAGCACTTTACAGAGGTCATTTGAAATGAATTGGGTCCCAGAGATATTCTGGCCAGCTGAGTTGCCAGGTTGCAGCTTCTGTCTCATGCAGACCACGTCAGGGACACCACTGGCCACAGCCAGCAAACGCCGGTGACCGGCTCGAGACTGAGGGGGAGAGGGGGTGAGGCGGACAGAACGATGGTGGGGGGGCGGGCACCCGAACCCACCCGACCCCACCCGACCAGCTGTGCTGCTTTGCTTGTCGCTCTCCACGCTGTCGAATCTCGGCTTCAACAGACAGATGGACGGGATGCTGCTGAAGATCATGCAGGGGTCAGAGGGAGGACAGAGCCTTCATCAAACTGCCCTTGGATTATAACCCCCCCCCCCCCCCAAAAAAAGGGGGAGCTAAAGGGAGGGGCAGCAGCAGCACAGGCAACGCCCACCCAGTCAAGCACATGCACTTCTCTCTTCTCCTTTGAAGTCAGCAGGTAAGAGAAGCTATTTCCAGAACCCTCCCCCCCCAATACACACACACACACACACACACACTGTTATTACACAAACCGACACCTTTAGGCTGTACAGAGATATAGGGTAGGGTGCGGTTTTTCAAGCCAGCCCGCAGGACTGGATCAGGTCACTGCAAATGGACCCCTGGCGGACAGGTGTGTTAATGGGCCAGGCTTCCCGACCAGATGCACTTGGTGACACTCACACTTCCCCTCACACTCAGACTCAGGGAGGGAAAGAGAAACGTAACAGTACAGCCCGTCTGGTGGGCAGGAACATGGGTAAAGCAGCAAAAAAACACATGCTTAAAACAAAACTTAAAAAGAAAAAAAAATACAAGACATGAGTACGATGCACGGCAGGTATCAGTGTTTCACGGCCAAAACGATTTAGCGAGTGGTACAGATTGGGGGCTGCGTGCATTAGGCGGCAGTCTGACAGCTATCTGCGGCGCTACGTCTCATTACGCCACCCCGGCCGTCCTTTACCCCCCGCCATCTGCAGTGCAGCTACACCCATGCATATCCCTGTGTTCCTGGGACAATATTGGGGCCACATTTAAGGATGATCAGCAACACAAAGCAGCACAACAGGATATTTTTTCAAACGAGATCCCAGATGCGCTCTCTCACGCCTTAAACAGACTGCCGTTTCGTGCGGAACCGCCGCGACCTGAGAATTAATAAGCAGGCTTGTTTAACTAAAAACCCCAAATACGCTTTTTGTCTTTTTTAAATGAACCTCAGTGATCGAACGTAGGTACTTATCATTACGATCACTGTCGGATCGCATTTCCCCTCCCTCCCGTCAAATGGCGGTTGCCCTGCACCCACCCAGCCGGCGTCCCCCCCTCGTAGGTGCCTGTCCGGAGCTGCCTATCCACTCGGTACCGCTACAAATAAATGCCGATGCCGCTCGGTGAAATGGTGGCTGCGGATCCCCGTACCGGGAAAAAAGGATCGTGAGCATCTGCCTTCGTCCGGATTACGGGGTTTAAAACGTTACAGAGGACCGGTGTGAGTGAGTGCATTACGGTCCCCCTTCCTCCTGTATGCTAAACCTAAACCCAATATCCCTAACCCTCAGCAATAACAGGGAATTAACACCGATCGTCGCCCTTTTTGAATTTATCCGTCCGAGATTTAATCTGTAAAGCACTACGTAGTGAACCTACTGGAGTTTTATATTTAACCTTCAACCAGTGCTTGAAGTGGGGCGGTACTCATCGGTGCGCAGGAGTACCGGGAAGCTTCATTGCGTGCCGGCATCCTTTATAATCTCACATGCAGTACTGATACCGGTATTTTCCCACTTCAAGCACTACCTTCAACCTTTGATAGCAAAAATATGTAAGGTGTGTCGACTGGTGATTTGCGGTTTGCTTCTTTACTGCTGTGGGGTACCGGTTTCAACGAACAGTTTAGCTTAGATTGGCGTCCTCCATCAGTCCATGGCTCACAAACAGCAGCTACACATGCGGCATGTGTGCACCACAACCGTGCACTTCTGTGAAGAAGTGAACCGGTGTCAATGAGAGTCGGAGGTTCAATAAATCTCCTGGACAGTGCATATCAGGAACATCATTCTGCATTCCAAACAGTGAGAGAGGTTTTAAGGTGATAGTTGGTGGGGGGGGGTAACGATTTTGGGAATCTACCCCAATGACAAGCTCCAGATCAGGAGAGACCCCTCGAAACAGCGCCAGTGTCTTCATTAGTGGGAAGTCCCCTTTCATAAACATCCTGAGGTAAATGCCCCCACCCCCATGCAAAGGTGAGTCTGGGAGCTGTCACACGCTGTTCCTGATGGTCCTCACGCACGACCTTCTGAAATAGGAGTTCTTGTGGATGGCCTCAAGTAGATCCCCAGATAACAGGCAATCGGCTCAGTACATAAAGGAAACAGCGAAGGGGTCACAGGGTTGGGGGGTGCAGTAATGTGGACGACACCCCCCTCCAGGGCCTCAAGGGGGATCTGGAAAATGCTGCCTGGGGGACCTTGGAGGGTTCGAGCAGTGGGACAGGTTGTTCCCAGCTGGAAGCAGAATGGGGGGGGGGGGGGAGAGCGGTGGCTGGATGGCTGATGGTTGGTGACGAAGCTCGGAGTGTCGGAGCTGCTGGTGGCGTTGACATGGCGACAGGTGACCCCCTGCGTGCTCGGGGAAGTGGGTAGGCGGGGAGGGGGGGGGGGAGATGGCAGTGCAGGAAGGGGATGGTGGGGTTCCTCGTACCTTGCGCTTGCGTTCCGCCCGCTCCCTAGACCGCCGCCTCCGCTGCCGAGCCTTTTCCTCGGCCGCCTTAGCAACGTCGTCCTGCTTGTCCAGCACACGGGACTTCTTCAGCTGTGATGCCGCATGAGCCATGGCTGCTGTGCTGGTCTCCGACCACCAAACTCAATAGAAATCCGGCTCTAAAATCACCCAAAAGCCCCACAGGGGGGACAAGGGATCCTGGCAGAAGGAGGTAGGGAGGGAGTCGTGGGTGTTGCCTGTTTGCGAGCAGTGCCGGCTGCAGAGGCTGCTGCTGGGGTGTCGCTCTGCCGGGCTGAGCTGCGGATTCTGCCTTCACAGACTCTCGGCTAGCGCCGCTTCTGTGGAATGCGTGTCTGAGTGGCGGTGGCAGCAGGCGGGAGGGAGAAGAGAGAGGAGGAGAGAGGGAGGGAGGGAACGAGGACGGACGGGTCCACCCCCGGCCACAGTCAGTCAGACGACGGGTTCAGGCGTGCGAGTCTTTGGCCGTGACGTTTCTGGTGGCCGAGAAATGCGGCCGCCGCCACGAATCAGGGCCAGGGATGCTGAGGAGAGGCGGAGTCGCCGGCACCTGGAGGAGGATGACGATGAGGCGAGGGAGGAACCAGGCAGGCTCCAGGGACGGGGGAACGCTCCTCTCAGTGCAGCCGGCCCCCTCAGAGGAGGAGATGGCGCAGTCCGTGCCGCACGCAGGCTACAGCCACCGCCGCTACGGCTCCCCGACGCAGGGTACGCAGCGTCTTTCCACAGCCTCCCGCCTCCGCCATTTCCCTTTCCAAGGCTGCTCGACGCAGTTCTGACGTGTTCTTTGAAATACGCAGTCTCTCCGTGCAGTGGGAATACGGCAGTGAGCGTGAGGTGGTTCATGTGTGTTTCTGCCTGGAGGTCACTGCTGTACCTACTGTCAGACGCTTTAGCTTCGGCTGGGGGGGGGGGGGCATGGTTACTTCCCCAAAGCCAGGACACACAAACATACACACTCATGGATCAGGTGTCCATACTGCTGAGAAACCGGATCTGGCTGGTGGCCCACTTCAGTAATGAACTGAGAGAAAGTAGGGCAAATAAATGACAATGCCCCCCCCCACACACACAGCACTAATTCCCACCATACTTACTTCCTCCCCCCAACCAACCAAATCTATAGAGGTCTCCCGTAAAGCCCCCTCAGCTGGAGAAAATCCTTCTCTTCCAAAGAGAAAAAGCAAAACCGTGTCGCCCAGAATCCACACGGCCTGCGTTTCAGTTATTTAAACAGCGTAGCACACGAGTTCTCCGTGTAAATGCTACTCGCTCAGAAACAACCAGGGAAACGTGGCTCTGTCCTCTGTAATACGGGCAGGTAACGCTGAAAAATAGGTGAGGCTTCCCCGACGTCAAATGGCACCAGCGGGACAATCACAGTTTGAAGATGTGAGGCTTGGAAGCCCCATGTTCTTTTGAATCTTTCTGCTTTTTGTAATATGAACAATGTCACAGACCCATATCAGCCTTCTAACTAACTGAATGGTGAGTCCAGCTTCAGCATCAGCCAGCAGAGACGGAGAAGCTGTCAGGAACCCATCCTCACTTTAACCACCTCCCGCCTCGCATATCCTCTGTACCTGCATGATCTCCTATCACATTGCTACTCCCTCCCGCACCCTCAGATCATCTTCTTCTATCCACTAGGCTGTTCCCTCTGCCCCTCTTACCACCATGGGGTACAGGGCCTTCAGCCGCTCTGCTCCACGGCTCTGAAACTCACTCCCACCGGATATCAGAAACATCAACTCACTTTCACTTTTTAAATCTGCTCTCAAAACCCATCTTTTCCAATTAGCATTTTCTCTCTAATTTTCTGTTTTATTTATTTTAATCAGATGTTCACCTTGTGGTGCAGAAGCTGCCTTAGGGGCGGAGTCACTTATGCAGCCAATCAGGCGAAATGTGACACGCCTTGCATGCTCTGGGATCGTGTCCTGTTTCAGCACCATGGACAGGGTCACACATCAGCGCTTTCTGTACTGAATGAAACCGTCCATAAATCCCTTTTCAATGCAGCTTATCCGGCTACAGCCATGATGCTCAAATGAGCATGGTGTGGAATGAGGGACACAGCCTGGAAAAACACATGACCCCAGAGGCGTGAGACTGCAAGGCTATCTGATGGGAGAAACTCTGAGAAACTAGAGACCCTAGCAGCAAGAAAACAATATAATTTTACACATGATAATAAAGCATTTACATATACCAGTCCTATCATCATCTTATTGCTAACTTCAGCACTGGCATTAGACCTGCATCACCTACAATATTATAAACTGACTGGCTGATCCGCGATCTGAACTGAATCCATCTTACTCCAATCTGAGCAGAACCTCTGCAGTTTGCGTATAGTTGTCCAACTAAAGAATTCCTCCTCCAGTAATAACATGCACCTTCACCTCACCCTATCAGAAATTGTACCCTTGAGGGTACAGATACTTGTCACTGGGGCTGTACCCTCAAGGGTCAGCCAATCGTACCCTAGCTGTAGTTAAATTTACCTTTTAGTGTATTTTAAGGCACAGAAATGGACTCGGAAGAACACTCTTGTACCATTGGGGGTACACTAATGTTGACTGTACTTTGGGGTACAAATCTGTACCAGGGCTGTAGCTCTTTAACTCCTGCAAGGGGGGTGAGTTCATGAGCACAGAGGCCAGAGATATGACCAATGAAATCAATGAGGTGTCCACTGCCTATGGAACCAATAGTCCCATTATAATTCCTGGCAACAAAACAGAAGCACTTCTTACACCGTGGAAATGCCGCCTAGTCTGCGTACGGCTCCTTGCCTGCGGTTTTACTGGAGGATTGGCAATGCTGCTCGCCGCATTAGAATCAGTTCTACATGGTTTCTGCGAGATCCCAGGCAGACCCTTCGGTTTGTCGCCTGAAATCAGCTGCTGGGCACGCGGCGCTAACAAAGCCCAGCACTGATGACCCTGACTTGCAGTGAGGGGCTCTTTCTGCTGCTGATGAATTACATCCTTCATCAGAAGCGGCTTTTGAGACCAAGCACAATGCCCTTGACAGGACGGAGACTCAGTAAACACTCAGGAACAATTAAATGCCTAGAAATCGCATTTCTTCAATGTGGAGTGTCAGAATACATGTGTATGTGCATTTTCTAAGCACTCCTGTATTGTGTCCTCTCATAAAAGGGATAATATTTTTCCACTGACCATGACCCTTTTGTTGAGCTTGTGCCTCATCGTTTGTGCCACACTGCCATCTGCTGGCAGCATTCAATTCTGTTTAAATTGGCATGAACTACCTGCAGTGCAGCCTGGTGGTATCTCTCCAAAGCATTTCCAGGAGTGCTCTCCTGATCTCAGCTGAAAGCATCCATCATTCACTCCTCACTTGACATATGACTGCGCCCTATTTTGACACAAATTTCTAGGGATTCGGAGGCCCAGAATGATCATTCTCAGCCAACTAAATCAACACCGAAATACTGGGATTCAAACTTAGTATGGATCACACTTGAAAACATGAGCACAATGACCATTTAATGTAGCTACAGTTGTGTTCTGTGGTCTGTTTTTCTGAGTTATAAACATGGTGTATTAGGTAGGTATAAGGACTCCCTATCAGGCTGGACAAACAGCTCAAATACTGAGCACAGTATTCTAAAATAAATTTTGTAACAGCACAACAATGACATGCAGACTTGTGGCCAAAAGGTGTCACCAAAGAGCCTTGGAAGGACTGACGGGCAATCGATAGGTGCAGAAGCTTGTGGTACCTTTCCAGGCCTCATTTAGCTATCACTGCTTCAGCAGAATGTGAACATAGGACAACAAACAAGCATGAATCCTATGCGAGTAACGCCCAAACGAGTAACGGTTGATGGGTTCTACGGGTGGATACCCCATGGTAAAAGCAGAAACGTGCACAGGGAGACACACGCACCCATCAGTGCTCCGTATTTAGCTCATGGGGATTAGCCATCCAGGGCAACGTGCTGCCACCCCGCTCCCTGTAACGTCCCGCCCATTCTGGGAGCCGACGGTGGTCTTGACCGAGCTGAGGTGGCTGTCACGTGACAGGACCCCTGTACGAATGGGAGCGCACCATCTGGGTTTGTGTTCTTAGGCTGGATTTGGGGATTAAACCATGCTGGCTGGATTTGTCCACACAATCCTTATTACTGCGTGTAGGGCAGCTCTAAGGCTTTACACACACACACACACACACACACACACACATTTTTATTCACATCTTTGTGGGAGGTGTCCATTCATTTTTATGGGAAAAACTCTATTTCCAGGTATGACAACCTTAACCCCTACCCAGCCCTAACCTTAACCACAAGTAATCAAACAAAATACAAGATTTTTGGCATTTTTATTTTTTTCATTGCAGTCACAGATTTACATACTTGTTTTTAATTGAGTTTACTCTTGTGGGGACCAAAAAGAATATCCCCACAGCCAGTGTTCCCTGCCCAGACACACGTCACACGCAGGCCTGTTTCTGCTGCTGCCTTCCCAGGTCTACACATGTAAAACGTGTAGAAGCACACCGCGGTACTTGCAGGAACACTCTACACCTACGAATTATGGGTGACGGTCTGTCATTACTGAAACATGATAGAGGGGATAATCATATCACTTGTTAAGGTCATCTATGTAGTTACCAGGCACGCTCATTCGAGCCAAGAAGCAGCTGGAGATACCAGATCTGAGCTAGTAAACACTGGACCCTTGATGTTGATCTTGATGGTGATTCTGACTGGAACAGCACAGAGCAGTGTTTCCCAACCAGATGAGCCACATTTTTGCTCCCTCCCAGCTCCCTGCCAGACAGTCCACATTTTTGCTCCCTCCCAGCTCCCTGTCTGTGGTTCCCCGAGGATCGGAAACACCACCCTAATGGGAACCCTGCTGATAGCATCATAAACACACAGTGAGGCCGCTTTGACCCGGCCATGTGCCCCGCCCACACTAACCCACATCCTTGTGCAAAGCCCACGGCCCTAAGACACCTCTAAATGACACCCCCCACCCGAGAGCAGTAGGACGCTGGTTAACGGATTAGGCAGCGGGCACCATCTGGCAACCTCCACTAGGCTGCACATCCATCCTATGGGCAGCCCCACCCCCCTCCCACATTTCTATCAGACAGAACCTAAGAGATCTGGGCCTCACTTCCCAAAGCATGTGCCGGCCCCATTGACTGGGTTTCCACGGTGACATCTTTCAATTTACTCCCCTTCACACTGTGTCACGTGGAGCCCTTTGCGTCACATGACAGGGCTAGTACTGCCATTAAATTCATATACTATTATGTTGTTTCATTTGTCACATACACAGTTATACTCTGTACAGTAT